CACACACATATATATATATATATATATATTTTTTTTTTTTTTTTTTTTTTTTTTTTTTTTTTTTTTTTTTTTTTTTTTTTTTTTTTTTTTTTTTTTTTTTTTTTTTTTTTTTTTTTTTTTTTTTTTTTTTTTTTTTTTTTTTTTTTTTTAAATCCGAGAGCTTTCTGGCCATGCATAGACAACAACACAACTACCACGTCCAAGGTCCAAAAAGGTAGTAAGGACATCAATAAAATAGCTTCATAAAATTAATGTTAAACCACTGATGTCACATGGACTATTTTAATGATGTCCTTACTACCTTTCTGGGTCTTCAATGCGATAGTTGTGTTGCTGTCTATGCAGGGTCAGAAAGCTCTCAGATTTCATCAAAAATATCTTAAAGGGATAGTTCACCCCAAAATAAAAATTCTGTCATTATTTACTCACCCTCATGCCGTTCGAAACCCGTAAGACCTTCGTTCATCTTTGGAACACAAATTAAGATATTTTTGATGAAATCTGAGAGCTCTCTGACACTACATAGACAGCAACGTTGTTTACGTTCAGCATGCGCACACTTTCTCCTGAACTTTTCTCCTTACACATCCACACTTTTCCAAATTCCAAACTCAGTTACGTCAGGTCCAGCAGGAATGCAGATCTCTAGTGCAAAGAAAAAGTTTGGTGAATTCTGAGCAATTTGCTGAACTTTATATTTGTCTTGCAGTGTCCCTGGCCTTCGCCGACATGATGGTTGGAGTCTTGGTGGTGCCATTTTCTGTATACACTGAAATCTCTCTGATGGTGACCAGCACTCCACCGCTGTGGTACCAGGCCATTTCAGCGGCCTCACTGGAGGGTGGATCAGGACCTTGGCAACCTTGCATGCTGATAGGTCCAGTTTTTGCTGGATGCACTTTTGTCTCAATTAGTACCATCTTTCTGATGACAGTGGAGCGCAGTGTGGCAATCCTGCGTCCGCTGCATAAAGACACTCTTGTGACGTGGCATCGCACCCTGTTCCTAATTGTCTTGTCCTGGGCTGGCAGCTTCTTACTGGCAATGGCTCCGCTCATGCTAAGCAACAGCTTCACACTGGAGTACAATGAATGCAGCCGCATGTGCAACTATGCACCCTTATTAATCGGACATCAGTTGCCACCAGATGCAAACATCCTTCTGCTGTTTCCAGCCTTTGACTTCAGTTTATTGGGCGGGACATTAGCCATCAATATCCTGTCCTTTACCAGTATCCGCCGATACTCCCGCAAACGAAAGCTGCTCTCTGAGGGAAGTCTTGGCACGGATGCAGGAGCCGGAGGGTGTCCCCACAGGCCCTCTTTTTCTGATATCAAAGCAGTTAAAACCATTGGAATCCTCACCTTTGCATTCACAGCCTCGTTCTCTCCTATCGCAGTATTTGTGCTGGGGAACGTAGTGGGATACACTTGGTGCAACTTCTCCTTTTTTGCATTTTGGATTCTGACAAGCAATAGCTGCTGCAATGTGATTATTTATAGTGTGCGGGACCACCGTTTTAGGAAAGGGCTGACTCTGCTCTTTCAGCGGGACAGAGCACAACCTCACCCAGAGAAAAGCTGAGATTTTTTGGACAGGAGCTGGGCAAAGGCTGGCACTGACTTCACTTTCTTTACCTCCCGTCACTTTCGCCTCAAGAGATTAAGAATTTGCTTTTCAGGATCTCTTTCACAAATGGATCAGGGACAACAATATACATCATTCCAGGGATTGTGGCAGTTGTCATTATGTTTTACAGAGAATTATAGTCTTTATTAGCATATCCCTGCAGTTATTTATTTTTTATTCTGATACACGTATATGTATGAAATACAGAGACGCCTTATTGATTATTGCGTTGCGTATTTAGCATAAATCTGTATAATATGTATGTGAGACATTTTTTAATGCGATTTTTAAGAACAATTGACATTTTGAAAGAGTTCTATTTGTACCTAATCTGGCAAAAAAAAAAAAAAAATATATATA